ATATTTCCAGGGGAGCCGTTATCACAGATCATGACTACAATAAACTTACAGCAAGTCCCCTGTCCATTTTGGGTCCTTGGGTGAAAATAAGAGCTTTGGGTTTTGCTTAAGGTTTGAATGCCCATCACCTGGGCCATTCACTTTCACAAAAGAAAAGAGAAATTTGAGCCATGGGGCTCTGCTTCTCAGATGTCATTACCAGGAGGGATTTACTGGGTGCTCAGATACAACCTGACCTGGAATGGGCAATGGACACACATATGAAAATGCACATCAGAGCTTAAAGCATCAGAGCTGAGATGAAGCAACCCACTCAAGGCTCAGAGCGGCAGTTACTCTAGGAGGTTTTCCAGCTGTGTCTGTCATTTTATTGTTCCCCATAAGTCCTGTGGATAGTGTTCGGCCAAACTTTCTAAGTGATGGGAACAAGGTCTTGGGCTAAATCCAACTTCCTGTCTGTTGTAGAAGTTTTGTTGGAACCTAGCCATGCGCGTGCCGTGCCCATTTGTTGATGTGTTGTCTATAGCTGCTCTCATGCTTTAACTGCAGAGATGAGCGCATTGGACAGAGACTGGATGGCCTGCAAAACCTAAAAAACGTCTATTATCTGATCTTTTACTGAAAAAGTTTGCTGCTGACCCCTGGTCTAGAGGACCATACTTTTCTATTTCACTTCAAATTGGTTTTGCTTAGCAACATTGGGGAAATTTGCTTGTTTTCTTCCTTCCTTTTTGTTTCATTGAAGTATCATTGATATACAATCTTATATTGGTCTCAAATATATAACACAGTGGTTCAACAGTTCCCAGTATCCTTAAATCCTTACTCCATCTAGTGTGGTTACTGTCAACATAGGAAGATTTTACAGAATCATTGACTGTATTCTCTATGCTGTACTACTATCCAGGTGAACAACTTATATCACGAGATATAAGGAGAACTTTTATGCCCCTTTATCCCCTTGCCCACCACTCCAACCCCTCCCCATGGTAGGCTTTCTTTAAAAAGTCACTTCTCTGGGTCTACAAGTCTACTGCTGTTTTGTTCATTCTATTTTGCTTTGTTTTTATATGCCACAAACAAGTGAAATCATATGGTATTTGTCTTTCTCCACCTGATTCCTTCCTTTTTGTTTTTTTTTTAACTTTGTTAAGGGCTTAGAATAGTTTAGAGAAAGAACAGTTTGGGATGAGCTGTTAAACAAACGGCCTCAGGATTATAGGAGAGTTCCTTTATATCAACTCTGGTGGTCTATTCTCTATCCAGTCCCCTACCTTTATGAATAAAAAAGTAATGAAATGCTTCAAACATACAGAAAAGTACAAAGAATAATATAGTGAATCGTACCACTCAGATTCTCTAGATCTAAACAGTTTGTCCTTTTTTTAAAAAAAGAAATAAAACATTACAGATATATTGGAAGACTTATCTGTATCCTTCTTGACCCTGTTCCCTTCATTCTTAAAAGGTAAAAGCTGTCTTGAACTTGATATGTATTCTTCTGGTGTGTGTTTTTATATTTTTACCACACATCTATGTATATTTATATATTCATAAAGAAAATATTGTGTTTTTTGAATTTCTGCTCCCCCTACCTTTTAAACTGTAAGAAGAATGTAGCAAAGGCATTTAATGCCATTAATGGAGGGAAAAGCACCTATAATCCTGTAACTAATACAGACATTTTCATATTGTGACCTTGTGCATATTGTGGGCTTTCCTTTACAGAGATGTAGTCAGAATATGTACACCATTTTGTTGTCTTTCTTTCCGGTCTTAGCATCAAACTTACACATTTTTCCATAATTATTATTTGGAAGGTTGTGGAACATAATTGTTGATGTATCATTTTCAGCAAGCCATTTAGAAATCATCTGGTGAACAAAATCTCTCCACAGTGGTCACTTTTGGGCCCATTTTTACTTTTCAATGAGTAACTTTCTGCGCTATTTTTTTAAAACCATACACATAAATTATTTTCTTTTAAATGTCAGTAAAAAAAATTTTTTTTGATTAAGAAAGATCTTGATCTTTGCAGAAAATATTCCAGGAAGGAGTACCCTTACCTTTCAGAGTTGTGGGAAGGTCACTGGGCTTGGAGACAGAAAACCTGGATTTTAGCCTCAGAGCAAGTCATTAATTTTGTTTCTCTCATCTGTAAAGCGGAACCAAGGTATACTTGTCCCACTACCTTATTTTGAGGATCAAAACAGTGCATGTATTTGAAAGACCTTGGTAAACTATAAAATTCCCTCCATATATAGAGGAAGAAAATCCCTCACTGAAGCAGGATTAAGTTCGGGCACCCAGAAAACCTGCAGTCTGATGCCCAGGCTAACACGAGCTCAGGGGTGGTGTCTCCAGACACTCCTGCTGGCTTTCGGGGTCCCAAGTTCAGAAAGAATTCTTCCCCAAAGTTAGGAGTGACTCAGAGGGGGAAGAATTTATCCTAGGTGTCCTCAGTTCATCAGGGAGGCTTTCTTAGGATTCTTTATCTGCCCGGTGAGCTGGAAGTAGAGGATCGTAAAAACAAGGTTTCTTTTTGTTAGCCTAATACTTCCCCTAAGTCTTCCTAGATTTTGTTTATGACATTATCTTAGGAGCTGCATGTTATTTTTTTATGACTAAAGGTAGCAAGGCAAATATTAATGGAGTTTCACAGTCTCCTATTGCCTGTTGTCATAAAGTGTTACAAATTAACTACTCTGGAAAATCAACCAACCAAGGGCACTTTTAAGGCAATTGAAGCCTTGGAATCTTTTTATTGCTCATTTAGGTTTATCAGCTAATCCACCAGATCAAAAGTGTGTGCACTTAGCAGCATTCCATTGTAATCAATGAATGGGGTCCCTTCACATGAAATAACTTTATGTGGCAATACAGAGGTATGGGAAGGGATGGCCTGGTATTATGAATACTCATCACAATTTCAAGTGGCCCAGTCTGCAGAGTCAGAAAGGAGTGGCCAGTCCACTCTTAGCAGCGCTGATGTGTAGCTGTGGACTCTTTCTCCTCTTTGCCTTCAGAGGGCAGAGGAGCAGGTCCAGAACCTGGAAGGGGAGTACTTTTCTTGGCTGCAGGACTTTCCAACTTCCAGCCACTGAGAATCACAAGCTCTAGGGCTCAGCTCTCATCTACTTTAAAAGTGAGAACACCGAGATGTGGGGGGGTGAAATGCTTTATCCAAGGTCACGCCAGCCTATAGTGATAGCCCTGGGGTTAAATTCCAGATCCTCTGACTCCGGATGGGTGTCTCTTTCTAAGCCACCATCTCTCTCCCAACCTCCTACGTCTCCCTCTCCTTCTCCACCAGGAAAGATGATGACATTAGGTCCTCTGGGACCAGAGAATCTGCTGGAGACTTAGGGCACGGTGCTCAGGAGGCCCATCTTCTTGGAGCGGGGTGGGTTGTGCATTAGCACATAACCTTGAAGTTGGTGTAAGACAAGCTGTCCACCAACTAATAGAGGCATGGAGCAGAAGGTCTGGATGGCAGGGGCCTGAGCCACTGGCAGGCCCCGCGGAGCTGCAAGGAGGTGGAGATGCGGAGGATAAGAAGAGAGCACCATTTACCTGGGTGACCCTTTACATGCCCTGAAGCATATTAGATTTTATGCAATAAAACTGCTTATGCGTTGCACCTAAGGGAAGTCTAATTTCTTTCACACCTAGAGATTTAAAAACAAAAGATGCACCAAGATCCTCTTTTAATGCTGCCCTTCCTGGTAGTGTTTTGGAGATGCCATGAGCATTCATTTTGGGTGACTCCAGTGCCCTCTGTTGGTTTAAATTAGCACCTGCATCATATAGCCAGGTTAAAGTTCATGGGGCTAACTGAGGCAGGCGGGAGGGAGAGAATCAAGAACGTATCTGGTGAATGTGAGGGGAGGAGAGGGAATGATTCTCCCTAAAGTGACCTGAGAGGATCTAGACAAAACCACCCAGCACGAAGCCTGTCATGCAAGAGGTTCTTGTTGGAGTCAAGAGGACTCTACCCGGGCTGGGAAGGCAGAATGGTGATGTTGCTGAAGTTTTTCACCACTCCAGGTCAGGGTGGGGTGTCCCGCTTATGGACTCTCCAGCACTCAAATTTGCTTTTGGGAATAGATCTGATAAAACTTTGCATGCTGAGGTGTGAATAATGGATTATAAATAGCTTAGAGCAGCAGTCCACAAGTGAGTCGGGAAGAATCTCTAAGGTGTTAATAGTTGTTCCTTGGCACACAGAGTAGTGTAGTTAAATAAGTTTGTGACGGGTCATTTAACATGTTCCCCTCCAGGGGAGTCACAGTTCATGCTGTATGATAAAGGCTTGGAGAAACTGTGTGGTAAAGAAACCACTTTAGTTTTGTTTAATCCAGCAGTTCACAATCTTCTTTGACCATGAAATCCTTTTTTTTTTCTTCATGGAATGTATATTATCATCTTGAATAAAGCTTGCTGGGAAACTTAGAAATAAATCATGACTCTCATTCACATAGTCATATCCTTATATTTTTATTCTATTGTGGTAAGAACACTTAGTATGCCATCTGTCCTTTTGACAGTTTTTAAGTGTGAAATATGTCACTGTTGTCTGTAGGTACAATGCTGTACGGCACACCTCAGAGCATATTCATCTTCTTTAACTGAAACTTTATGCCTGTGATTAATGACTCCCATTTCCACCTACCTCCAGGCCCTGGTAACCGTCATTCCCATCTTGATTTCATGAATTTGACTGTTTTAGATACTTCATATATGTGGACTGTGTAGTACTTGTCTTTCATATTCTTAACTGGGGATGAAAACATGAACCTCTGTGGGATTATAGCCGATGGGCAAGGGATATGTGGGCCCACACTGAGCCCTGGAAATCACAGGCATCCACACTGCTCAGGAGGGGGTTTCTGTGAACCCCTTTCAAGGTTGCCTCCCTGTCCTTGAAGCTGAAGTGCTCCAGCCAAGCCCTGGGCACACCCTGCCAGCTCGCCCTAATTCCGCCTCTACTCTCCTTCCAGGCAGACATCTTCTCTGGGGCCATATTCATCAACATGGCCGTGGGCCTGGATCTGTACCTGGCCATCTTTCTCTTACTGGCAATCACTGGTCTTTACACCATCACAGGTGAGTCCATACACACGATTCAGCTCAAGCTCAGCTTGGGGTCAGGCACTTGCAAAAGATAAAAGGAAGTTGGATACAAGGCTTTTCTTCTCTAGGAAGAGAGAGACACTCAAGGAGCAGTTTGAAGATGGGGTATTTGCTTAGTCCCAACTCATAGACCCTAACAGGTTATATAGGTGGTGGGTCCCAGAAAATGACAGCATTGCCTGGAATAGTCAGGAGGTGGAACAGGGTTTGGCTTTGTGGGTGGTGGAGAGAACTTGGTTGAGTTGGGAGAAGCAAGGATGGGGTGCCAGGCTCAGGGATGGGGAGGTCAAGGAAAGGAGTCAGGGATGGGCTGGCAGGGTGAGCCAGCAGATGCGCTTGGCTGGACGGTGGTGGCGCATGGTGCGTGTGTGGGTGAAAAGGCCTGATAGTTAAAATGAGGTCAGTGTGCAGGGGCCTCAGAAGCCAGACAGAGGCCTTGGATTTAATGTGACAGGGACTTCTTCTAAAATCTCTTTGTGCCACTAGGGGGGCAGTGGCACAAAGAGATTTTAGAAGAAGTCTCAAGAGGTTACTGGAGAAACTAGTGGCACAAATAATTGGGAGTAACCTTGTGGTTACTGTGCCCCAGGTGGGGGCCCAGGTCAGTGATGGAATTCGCTGCTCAGTTGGAGCCCCATAGCTTTGGGGACAAGAAGTTACTTAGAAGGTCTGAGAAAAGAGTGCAGACATGCTGGTAGCCCTTTGAAACGTGCCCATCTTATAGAGATGTCAGCCCTTTGCTCTTTCCTGCCTTTGTGGAAGATGCCTCTTACCACAGCCACCTCCTCTGAGCCATCTCCTGGCTTACCGTGGTCACATAAGTTCTTCCTCCTCAAAGAGGGAGAAACCTCCTCTCCCCAAGGCCTTCCCAGCACCTCTGCGAAAAGTGAGCACGTCATGTCAGAAGACGCTGGGTAGCCGACTTCTGAAGCAGAAACAGGGCAAGGCAGATGAGGCAGGAAAGGCAGAGAGACTGAGGGGTGTGCTCCCAAGGGGTGCGGAGGGAGGGGCTCAGCGGTGGGGAAGGGAGGCAGGCTGGCTGGTTGCCTTCCTACCTGAGGTCTGATGTATTGTCTCCTTTGTCTGCTTAGGGGGCCTGGCAGCTGTGATTTACACAGACACCCTGCAGACGGTGATCATGTTGGTGGGATCTTTCATCCTGATGGGATTTGGTAAGTGGGGTTACAACATGTTAGGAGGCAGGGGGCGGAGGCAGAGGCCCAGGCAATGAGCTGAGCATGCTCTGCCCTCCCTGGGGGGTGGCCGGTCCTGGACTGGCCATCACCTCTGGAGTTGGGGCCAGTGGTCTCCGGTGTGGGCTGCTGATGTCATCCTCTTCTCTCCACAGAGAAACTGGATGAAAAAGCGTTTTAAGTTTGAATATCCATCAGGCTAAATATATTCAAATATTGCATCTTAAATCTCAGATTGTGTCTTGTCTATGCTTTGATACTAGACATCCCCTCTTTTATGAATTGGTAATTCTGATTATTTTCTTGTTTATGTCATTTGACAAGAATTTAAAAATTAGCCACTTGGTGTTACCCCCACCCAACCAAAATTTGAAATTTTTTTTGTCTGAAATCCCAAAGACAAGACTGGAAACCCTAGATCTAGAGGTAGGGAAAGGGGAAGAAGCTGTCATGGGAAGATGCCTTCTGCGTGTCTTGTGGGGCCTCTTATCCACTCTCCATGCCCTGTTTTCCCAGAGCTGCCATTTGGTTTTCCCTAGTGGTCCCCGGGCTCTGAAGGGCCAAGGCTGGAATGCCTATTCAAGGACACGCAGCCCAGAGACGGCAGGGGTCCCGATTCCTCCCGCCTTCTCTGTCCATCCCAGCACACTGCTGGGACCAGGGCAGTACGGCCTAGCCTGTGTGCCTCTAGGTGTGTGTCTGGGACCCCAAAGGCCGCTGTTGACAGCAGAGGACAAGGGGAAAATTGGGTCTTTGAACCTTATTCAAAACCAAGGTCTTTCTTTGGATAATTCAAATAGTTTCCCTTTGTAAAGAGGTTTATGGCTGAAGTCCTTTTGCCAGTTATTGCCTTGGATCCTCGCAGCAGCCCCCTGAGGGTTCTGGCAGGGTTAATAGTGTCACTGTCTGTGGGAGACAGCTGAGGCCCAGCTAGGACTGTGACTTGCCCGAGACCCCACCGGGAGGGTTCTGGCTGTGGGGGGCCCTCTCAGTTTCTCAGGCATCCACAGGAAGAAACCTCTCTGAAGGGCTGGGGGTTTCAGGATGTTGATTTTGTTGCTGATGTTTTCCAGCTTTTCAGGAAGTGGGAGGGTATGAAGCCTTTGTGACGAAGTACATGAAGGCCATTCCAACCATGGTTTCCGATGGAAACATCACCGTCAAGGAAGAATGCTACACCCCGAGGGCTGATTCCTTCCACATCTTCCGCGATCCCCTCAAGGGGGACTTGCCATGGCCTGGGCTCATCTTTGGGCTGTCCATCCTCGCCCTGTGGTACTGGTGCACAGATCAGGTACCCACACTGGACATGTGGGGTGGACAGGGTCTCCCCCAGGGTGCTGCAGGGGCAGGGGCCGCTGGGGGAGCGGAGGGTGCCACGAGGTGTGTGGTCTGCACCATTCCCTCACTGGGCTTTCCCTGGCAGGTCATCGTGCAGCGCTGCCTCTCAGCCAAAAACATGTCTCACGTGAAGGCCGGCTGTACCCTGTGTGGGTACCTGAAGCTACTGCCTATGTTCCTTATGGTGATGCCAGGCATGATCAGCCGCATCCTGTACACAGGTGATGCCTTTGCTGGGCTCAACAGCCATGCTGCAAGTCACTTCTGAAGCCCTGTAGACCCCTGCTCCTTCTTGACCCCTCTCTTCTTCTTGCTACAATTAATTACCAAGCGTTAACGTTCCGCCTCTAGAACACAGACTGTGTGGTGGTGTCTTCCCTGGCTCCTTACGTTGACAGTTGCTGTCCCCTTTTTGTGAATTCTCTGGAGTCATGATATGCCTCCAGCTGGAGCTTCTTTCAGCTAATATTTCCTCACCTCTTGCTCATTCCTCCCTCCCGTCTGGCTGTGGTAGTGTGTGTGATGTCCCCAATGTCAGTGGGCACAAGCCAGTCTCTAACTGTTGCTCGGAGCCCTGTTTCCAGGGCCGTTCCCTTCAAGGAGCGCTGAGCCTTGCACTTTGCTGTCTAGGGCGATACTCTTCCTTGGCCGTTCTGCGGCCTCTCCTGCATTGCCATTTGCATGTTTTTAATTTTTTTCTTTTGGCCAGCCATCATAGATCAAGACCGTCTCCCAGAATGTGAAAACCTGGCAAAAAAGAGCGTACAATAGAGTGGAGGTTTGCTGAGCCCCTTCCAAAATGAGGGCAGGACAGCCTGGGGGCGTTTCTGCCTTGACTGTTAACAGTGCCCTTAAAGGCACTCTCACAGTCCTGTACTGGCTCATCCATCATGAGAAAAATATTCCTAAGTGAATAGTTTATATCATAATGGAATCAGCACACGTAAAGTTGAGGCAGTGCTTTAATAAGTCAGTGCTGTGAAGGGCAGCACCAAATGACATACGTGTGGTCGGAACCCAGTAAGTGTTCGTTGATTTGAATTTTATAGAAATTTCTGGAATTTTTCAAAATCTCTAAATCATATACCTCAGACCTCTTCTTTCTGTCTCTACCCGGGATTTTCCATATCTTGGAAGCACTACCCAATAGTACCCCCTCCCTGGGGATTTCCCACAGTTGCCTAGGCATTCACCCCTACTCGCAAGGGCTGCTTAGAATAAACCTCAAAATTAGGAGCCATAAGTCGCTGTGATGTTCAGGAGAAACAAGACAAAATAGTCACTGCTGAGCTTCGGGGTAGCTTGCTAAGTGTAAGAACTTCGTTGAAGTCTAAGAACCATGCGCCCTCCCTCCCACCCTGAGAGTTTCCTCTCCACCCTACCACCCCCGGCCCTGCCTACTGTCTAGCTGTCTTTTTTCCCCAGTCAGATCTTGGGGCTGGACCAGCAGGGAGGGGCATGGAACAGAAGGGTTTATCCAGGAGCTGTACTCTTCGTGGAAGCTTGGGCAGGAAATGTCCTGTTTGAAGCCTCTTTTTAAGAAAGTGAGTCTTGGAACCATTTCCCTGAGGTCTGCTTGCTGACATGGCTCTTCCATCTTTCCCCAGAAAAAGTTGCCTGTGTTCTCCCCTCGGAGTGTAAGAAATACTGCGGCACCGAGGTCGGCTGTACCAACATCGCCTACCCAACGTTGGTGGTGGAGCTCATGCCCAATGGTGAGAGTCACCCTTGCTGGCAGGGTGTTTCTTGGGAGGCTGATTTGACTTACGCTTCAAGCAGATCTCTGTGGGCCTCTGGGGCAAAGCTGTTTCTGAGTCTGGGAGGTTGGCCCAGAATGAAGGACAGCTTCATTCTAGGTGTCCTCAGTTTTTGAACGTCTTTCCTGAGCGCAAAGGACGCATGTGAGTTGGTTGGGCTCTAGGGAACCCGGCACTCATCCATCAGTGAGGCGTGGGAAAGAGACGATCTGAAAACATGTTAGGGAAAAACATGACATTTTATGCTCTTCTAGAAGCTCTCCAACAGACATGAACGCAAAGGCTTGAACTAAGAGGGGTTTTACCTGGAGGGTGAATCGAGCTCCAGGGTGTTACAAGGAAAAACATGGGAAGAAAGTTCAAAGAGTGATTTTTGCTGTGGAACAAGGACGTTCGAGGCAGTAGGCAGATGGGATACAAAGGGGCTTCTCAGTGTAGAGAATGTATTGTCCTAGGAGACTGGGTATTTGCAGCCCAAAATAGGTAGAGTTTTGAGGTTGACCGGTCTGGCTAGTGTTCGTGTTGCATGTTGAAGGAAAATGTAATTCTGGCTCAAGGGATACAAATCTTGTTAAGTTAGAGGGTCTCAGGAGATCAAAAATTCAAAGGTATTGATCAGGAAAATTTAGAATAAACTTAAAAAATTTTATTACCTAAAGGAAACATAGAGATCATTTAGTCAAACCTCTTCATTTTTTAAAATTTGGTATCATTAATGTACAATTACATGAGCAACATTATGGTTACTAGACTCCCCCCATTATCAAGTCCCCACCACATACCCCATTACAGTCACTGTCCATCAGCGTAAGAAGATGCTATGGAGTCACTACTTGTCTTCTCTGTCAAACCTCTTCATTTTATAGGTGGGGTAACTGAGGCCTACAGAAGGAAAGTCCAAGGCCACACAGCAACTCAGGGTCTGGCTGGCTTAACTCTGCTCAAGGCTTGAATGGAGGAACTTGGGATGGTCTTTTTCTTCTTTTTTAACCACAGACTGGATGCATGACCTCTGGCAAACCATTTGCATTCAAATTCCATAAAAGTGGGAGTAATAGTTAACTATTCTACTGAGCCGGCTGCTTATTAATTAAACTTACAATTAGCAAGAGTCACATGGCTCTTTCAGAGCTCTGACTTGGATTCACTGGCCTCTGTGGGGGTGTTTATACAATTTCTTTAGAATGGCAGATCCTGGGTGAGGACCAGCTCTGAACAGTGAGCTGGAATGCATTGTGCCCGACAGAAAGATGCCTGGCATGCAGAACAACAACGAAATACTATGTTCCCATGTATTATTGCCATTCCCTCACTTTCGGCTACAATCTGGCTTCTGTAAACACTGAATTCCCCAATACTCCCCTGTGTCAGATCAAACAGATATTTTCCATTCCTCACCTAACTTGACCTCCCAGAAAGATAGATTTCCTGGTGCTGGAGGGTTTGGGCAGAGGAAGGTTCTGCCAGATGGATGGTAGCCCTAGGTGACCCCCAAGGTTACTTGCATTTCTGAGTCTGTGCTCTCAGTGGTGGGCCCTCAGCATGGCCTGGCCTCCAGTCTCAGCAGGGACGACCTTGTGCTTTCCTCGGTGTGGAAGGAGTAATAGAGGTTATAGCCAGCCGTAGTTGCCACAATTGGAAAAAATTGTAAAACAACAATCCCTTATTTCTGATTTGGGTGGATACAGTATTTTTCCCATTTAACACACCAGGAAATGTTGGCATGACCTGCTTAGGGTCAGAGTTGGGACTATAACTTCGTCTTTTTCTTTTTTTCTGTGACAACTTTATTGACCTATAATTCATGTAGCATCTGATTCATTCACTTAAGATGTATAATTCAGTGACTTTTGGTATATTCAGAGCTGTGCAACCATCACCACAATTTTAGAAAATTTTCATCACTCCAAAATAAATCCTATACCCATTGCCAATCACCCCATATTTCACTGCAAGCCCCAGCCCTAGGCAATCACCGATCTACTTTCTGTCTCTGTGGATTTGTTTACTCTGGACATTTCATATAAATAGGATCATATATTATTTGTCCTTTTGTGTCTGACTTCTTTTGCTTAGTATGATGTTTTCAAGGTTCATCCATGTTGTAGCATGTGTCAGTACTTCATTCCTTCTTGTTGATGGATCATATTCCTTTTCATGGGTATACCCCGTTTTGTTTGTCCACTTACCAGTTGGTGGACATTGTGGTGTTTCTGCTTCTAGACTATTATAAATAATACTGCTTTAAACATCCATGTACAGGCTTTTATGTGGATCTATGTTTCCATTTCTCTTGGGTAGATACCTGGCAGTGGAATTATGGGTCATATGGTGACTGCATGTTTAACTATTTAAGGAACTGCCACACTATTCTCTGTAGTGATTGTACTGTTTTTACGTTACTGCCAGCAATGTAAGAGGGTTCCTATTTCTCCATAGCTCCAGCCACACTTATTATGATCTGTCTTTTAGAAAAAATTTATTATAGTCACCTCAGTGGGTGCAAAGTAGTATCTCATTGTGGTTTTGATTTGCATTTCCCTGGTGTTGAGCATCTTTTCATGTGATTATTAGCCACTTATTTTATCTTCTTTGGAGAAATATCTATTCAGATCCTTTGCCTGGTTTTAATTGGATAATTTGCCTTTTTATTATTGCATTGTAGGAATTCTTTATGTATTCTATACACTAGACCTTTGTTAGATACATGATTTACAATTATTTTCTGTTATTCTAGTGTTGTCTTTTCACTTTCTTGAGAACTTCATCTTTTGGATCCTAGTATGAATCTTTCTGCTATATTATGAATCTTTTAGATAAGAAACCTTATAAAACTCCTTTCAGTTGGAAACACACCCCTACACGCACCATCACCATCACTGTCATTCAACTGCAGAGTATTTACCTCATATAGATTTCGTTCCTAGCTCTTTGTTGACTTCTGTGGGCTCATAATATAATTTAAGGCCACAATCTATTTCTTAAAATATTTAGTCATCTGGAGAGAGAGATTGGAGAACACGGCACGGCTTCAGAAGGCAGAGAATCCTTGAGTCCTCACACTTTTCGAGCACAAAAGCGCTGCAGTGCCGTGCGTCCCACTCAGAACCTCCTTCTCTTCCAGGGCTGCGGGGCCTGATGCTGTCAGTCATGATGGCCTCTCTCATGAGCTCCCTGACCTCCATCTTCAACAGCGCCAGCACCCTCTTCACCATGGACATCTACACCAAGGTCCGGAAGAGGGCATCTGAGAAAGAGCTCATGATTGCGGGGAGGTAAATGCAGCTTCCCCCTGCCACGCGCCATGAAAGCTTGCACGATCAGAGGTTGCATCTGTGTAGCAGCCCCTCACGCTGGGGAAGACTAGTGGATACCTGAGTAGAGTGGGTGTAACCTCTGTGGCCAGTTACATTTACCCTTTAGTGGCATTTAACTTTAAATTGGAGGTCATCAAACAATGCCCCTCTGGAGCAAGAAGTGACAGCAGAAATGATCTAATCTAACCCTCAGTTTATTAAAGAGAAAAACGAGACTCTCCTGCCTAAATGCAGACAGCCTAGACAGTGGCAGAGTCAGGACTGGAAGCCACGGACAACTAGGTCCTTGTCCAAGGCCCTGTGTACTGCCCATGCTGTCTTGGCCCTCCACACTGCAGCTCTCCATGCTGGCCATTTTTGAGGCCCAGATATCTCCAATGCCTTGACCCATTTTTACTGCAGCATTTTCAGGACCATTATAAGGGTCAAGAGATTATTTTGCTTGAGAATATGCTTTGTAAAGTCTAAAACACCCTGCTCTGTACACACTTGTTATTGTCAAAAGGGCTAGTGGACACAACAGGATACCAAAAGGAATTAGCATTGATTCACGGGTCAGGGGCACTCATAATCTTGACCGTCATGGAGCAGATGCTCCAGATAGAAGACTAGCAGGAACTCTGCTATGTCTCTCCATGGGGCTACGTTAGGGCAACCGCCTCAGCGCAGGTGGAGTAAGGTCCTGTGATGTCAGCCAAGGGAAACTTTCTCATTGAGCACAGGAAGGGTCTGGGTTGCTACCTCACAGGTCTGTCAACAAGATTGGGGCAAAGGAACGGATGGGAAAACGATAGTCCCCTCTAAGTTGATGAGACACTTGTACCGAGGGGAAGTCTGGCCAGGCCAGAGTCTGCAACTGTGCTTCACAGAAAACAGCCCTGCTGCCTGGCCTGACTTTTCCTTAGAAAGTTATTAGTTTTTTTCTGTTATTTATAAGGCTCAAGATACAACATGGGAAGAGAACCATTTTGTTGCTTTGTTCAGGGTGGGTCCCTAGTGGACCTTGGCTGAACCTGCTAGGTTAGGGCTCACGTCTTTGTGCATCCTGTGACTGCTGCACTGGGGCCTGACCCTGCCTTAGATAAATTTGCAATTACATGAAACAATCCCGAACTTCTGTGGGGACTGTAAGAGCCTTCAAGGGCTCAGAGAAGGGAAAGGTGAGCGTGGCTTGCAGTGGTTGGGGGAGGTCCCTCAGGGAGGGAGGTTCTGCTGAGTCCAAAATGGTGGTGAGATTTGGGTAAGTGAGGGACAGTGGGAAGGGCGTTCCAGAGGGAGAAATACGTGAGTGAAAATGCTGTTTTGTGAAGGTTCAAGATTCTTTGCCCTTAAATTCATGTAAGTGAGGTAAGGGGAGCACAGCCTTCTTTCTAATTAAATCAGAAGCACGAGTAATGAGACTTGTAAGGGAACCCTCCAGTCTTTTCAGAAGTCGAAGTGAAACTCAAGAAAAGGAGACCTGGAAGTAGCTGGTAGTGTCGCTTTCTATGTAGCTGTCCCCATACAAGCTCGTCCTGGCTTGTGCTTTTCACTACTGTGAAGGAGAAGGAGGGGAGTCGATGACAGCTGTGATCTTTGCTGTGCGCAGGTGTCTCCCCGTAGCTCATCCTTATTCCGACCATTTCCAGTTTACAGATGGAGAAATCAAGACTCAGAGAGGGTAAGCAAGGTGTCCTATGTTACACAAAGAGAATAAGAATTTGAATCCAGATCTGTCTGGCTCCAGAGTTCATACCTTTGTTCCTATACTCCACTGCCTCTCAAAATAGGGTTCTTTTATGGTAGCGACTGGTATAGGTTACTGTTGAGAGTCAAATGCATTTCATTTACTTATAGGTATGGATGACTTTCCCCAAAGGGCAGAATACAGAAGAAAAAAGCCTCAACCTCAAGAATGAATTTGGTCATTATATTTTCCTTGCTCTGGTCATTATATATACATATATGTACATTTATATTTGCTGGTTAGATACAAATTTGATACGCAGTGATATATATTAACTCATGTAGAGTCATTTATTGATGCTGTGTTGTGGGGGCTCTGATTTCAGGGTGTTCATCCTGGCGCTGATTGGTGTCAGCATCGCCTGGGTACCCATTGTGCAGACGGCGCAAAGTGGGCAGCTCTTCGATTACATCCAGTCCATCACCAGTTACCTGGGACCGCCCATTGCAGCGGTCTTTCTGCTTGCTATTTTCTGCAAGAGAGTCAATGAGCAGGTAGGTATCATTCACACATGTCCAGAAAAGCCATTCCGGAACCAGAATCCCCACCTGGATTTGCATATTGTGTGTAGGAGGGATTCCATCGCCCTGAGGTCTTCAGCAGGAAGGATGTGCTGCCGAGGTTTTGTATGGGAAAGCCTTCAGGGACTCCCCCCTCCTCCTTGCTGCAGGTTCCAAGTGAATTCTCAACTAATGGTTCTTTTCAGGGCCTAGTGAAAGATGAAGTCCTGGTGCTCAACCAGCTTATGTGCAAAACAATGTAAGGTAGATAAGAATTGAGGGGCAAAATGGCACAAAACATAGGAGAGACTCCCAGAAAGGTGGCATCACCATGAGCTGAAACTGAGAGGAAAGAGAGAGCATTCGACGCAGAGAGAACAGCGCTGCCCAGAACACGGAGACAGAAGTGGGAGGATAGGGGTGGGGTGGGGGACTCGAAAGGAGCCTCACCCGGCTAGAGAGGGCATCTGTGTGGGTGGGCATCAGAAGGCACAGCTGGAAAGGCGGGGCAGCATTGGATTAGGAATGGCCCGCTTGAAAGCCAGGCTAAGGGTTCGGGTCATCAGTGGGGCCCCATTGCAGGTTTTGTAGCCCCACGAAAGGGTGCCTTTTGATGCCTTCTGACTGGGGTGTCGCTCAGCTGTCTCTGTATCCGACTACCTACATGCCAGCAAGGGTTGGGCAGGAGAGGGGATGCTGGCTATGTAACTTATTGTCTGAAACAATATAAATGATGCTATATTTTTGGCTGGAGACAACTCCTTTCTCCCATAGAAACAAGAGAAACAAATATATACCAGGGAAATTCCTCACTGGAGTGACCCAGATTTGAGATGCATGAATTACCACCTGTGTCTCTCATCATTCGACATTTGCTTTAGGAATATAATCCACGTTTGCTGGTGACAGGAAACACCCTCGAGAGATCAGCATTAAACTTTCAAGTGATCTCGACAGATTAGAGAAATAGGCGCAGTGTTAGGATATGTTTCAGTAGGCGTTGGCAGAAGCTGGTTCCCTGGGAGATTTCTAGACATACAAGGCAGGCGAGGCAAGTGTGTCTGAAGCCCAGCTGGGTACTGCTGTGGCCACAAGCAGACTCATTCAGCAGGGGACCAAACCTTTAAAAATAGAAGGCTGAGGATTGGGACCCAACGTAGTGGTTCTCAAATTGGGGGGAGGGGGGATTTTGCTCTTCCCCACGGGACATTTGGAAAAGCCTGGGAACATGTTTGGTTGTTATGATTTCAGTCATGCTACTGGTATTTGGTGGCTGGATGCCGGGGATGCCGCTAAATATTCTCCAATGCCCACGAGAGCACCCAACCCTGACAGTGAATTATTCGCCCCCCGGGGCACAGTGCTGAGGGTGAAAGACCTTGGCTCAGAGTCTCTGGACAGCAGCACGTAGAGACTGCAGAGTCTGAGACTGCTGAGGGGTGACGCCAAGACTTGAAAATGTCAAAGGTTTCCAGAATTTTTCAAGAACCTCTTGAGAATAAAGACCAAAGGTATAGGAAGAGGTGAATTGTCAAAAGAGAAGGAAAGCTTCATCAATGTTCTCACCTACGTGAAAGTCAAGAAATTATTTTTTGACTGCACAAGCGCATGGGGGATGAATGGGGAACATCTCATTTTTATCCCTTATTCATTTATTCATGTAGCAGACACTTCCAGAAGCCACACACAGGGCTTGGCATTAACAACACGAAGGGAATGAATCCTGGTTCCTTCCCTGGGCCAGCTCCCAGGTCGGAGAGGGAGACAGAGAAGTGAGTGACTGGTTGCACAGCAGTGGGGTCCAGTGCTAGCATGGAGATGTGTCCACAGCGCTGTGACCTCAAGGAGGACACACCCACCCAGTTCTGTCCTGGGAGGAGGAGAGGGGGCATTTAATCTAGAACAAAGTTACCAGCGAGGAAAAAGCCTGTGCTCTCCCAGGTAGAGAATATGACCTGTGCAAACACCTGGGACATGTGACACATTTAAAGAATAGCTGGTAATTTCGTGCACCTGGAATATAAAGTACAAGGGGACCCATGGCCAGCAAAGGGGCTCTTCAGATCATCACTTGCCATGGAGGCTCGTTCTGTCTGCCTTCTGTAAGCACACTCGGCTTCATCCCTCATCCTCCTGAATCGTGCGTCTGGACTCAGAGGTTCTCTAGCTGAGGACTGACTCAAAAAGAAGAAAGAATGACAGAAGGAAGGAGTAAGGAAAGAAAGAAGGGGTTTTAAAGACGCTGGAAAATTATCCCCCAGTATTTCCAGTCTTAAAGGCTTTCCATATTCCTAATATGCAAACCCAAAATTTAATGTATTAATATAGTATAATTTTATGTTCTCAAATTAAAACCAGTGACTCTGTACCTATGAAAGGGTCTGAATAAGGAAGTGTTATTTATATTTTGATGGAAAAGTTCCTTTGTCCTCCAACCCCAAAGACCCAATTTCTTTGTCCATGTCCTCAAGGAATACAAATTACTTCACAAGTAAGTACTTTATGTCTGAATATGCCCAAACCTGGAGGCTGAAGATGATAGTGGCTGCAAGCAGAGAGATTTCAAATTGTTTTTAAAGTTAAAGGGAATTTTTGGTATTAAGCCTTTGGGTTGACTTTCTACCTACCAGTTATTAGACAGTATACCCCATTATCTTATGAATCCTTATTTTATGATCCAGGCAAAATCATGTATCATGTGAAACATGATAAACACACCCACTGGAGATCTGACATAACACTCCTAGCCATATGCTGACCTGTGTTCTAGCTTCAGATCATGGCCTAGAGTTATCATTTCTCTCACCTTTATTCTTTTGCTTTTATCCGCCACAGGTACGCCCCCCTGTTTTGTGTTCTGAGTTAGTTAATCAAGTTTTTTTTTTTTTTTTTTCCACAGGGAGCCTTTTGGGCACTGATCATAGGATTTCTGATCGGGATTTCCCGTATGCTGACTGAATTTTCCTATGGAACTGGGACCTGCATGAAGCCCAGCGACTGTCCCACAATCATCTGTGGTGTGCACTACCTGTACTTTGCCATCATCCTCTTTGTCATTTCTATCATCATCACCTTGGTCGTCTCCCTCCTCACCAAGCCCATTCCCGATGTACATGTGAGTGCCCATGCCAGGCCCGCCCTTCCCTTGTTCCCTGTTGGTGCTGATACACTCACCTTGGTTTCCCGTTGCTCAGTTAGACCTCTCACACTCACGTGACTAAGATGGGCCACACTTGCCATTGGTTTCATGTAGAAGGATGCAGGACAGGGAACACATGTGCCAGCAGGGCTGTATCAAGCACGTGTCTTCAGCGCACTTCACAGAAGTCCACATTCAAATGCAGGAGCTATTCTCTGGATCCTTTTCCCCAAGGGACAGCTCAGGGGCAAGGGAATGAGATCTCATGGGCGGGCACGGGAGCTACCCTGGCTTAGGTGCTCATGTCCCAAATGGGAACTGGTAACAGTACGGTGCCATAGCCTCCAAGGGTCCCAGTGAGGGACATATTTAGTTCTAAAAATCACCACACTCAAGGAAATCTGAAATATGATATATCCCTTATTTTTTTTTCCACATGAGCCTCCAAACAGTTACCCATATAACTCAAGAAATTTCAAGCTATATCAAAGTCCAATTGATTCAAGACTTCAAAAAATGGCACGTGCTCTTCTTTAGCTCTGGGCTGTACCCTTGGTTAAGGGCTTCTCACAGCCCCCACAATGCAGATGAAGATTACAAATTATGGGGCATTTCTGTGGGGCTCTTTTTCATTTATTGCACTACAGCTTATAGTTGCCAGAGTCCAAGTTAAAAGCAGACTCCAAATGGTTGCATTATACAAGCTGTGAGGTTTTTAAACTTGGGTGACAAGGGACAGAAGGGAAATTATTCTCAGTGCAAGGAAATCCTCACTTACACTTCATTAAGCCAAAAGCACTTGAAACCCTTGAACCTCCAGCTGGTCACGCTCAGCCCGTCGTGTCTACCAGGAACTGGCGTTTGTTCTTGTGCTGGTCCCCCTGTAGCTGAATTACTTCTCCATTTTCTGGATGTTCAATTACAGCACCATTGCAGGCACATTTCTTCTTAAATGCTTTCACTAGTTTCTTTTTATCATAATCATCAGCGATCCCTTGGACAGTAGTGAGGGTCTTCCTGCCATTTCTCTGTTGAAATCTTGCATGGATATAATGCTTAGTGCCAGCAGGAAGCAAATCATAACCCTTACTTGCATCAGCAAAAGGGTCCAAAGAGTGTAGGCTCTGGATAGTGGACATACGATTCCTTTTCCTTGGTGGAAACGGCCTGAGGAAGGTGGTAGGAGAAGGCGGGCTGGGGGCATGGAGTGTCAGGAAGTGAGGGGGCTAAATGGGGAGACTGCTGAGTCCTTGGCAGCGGCTCAATGACTGGGGCCTGATTATGGGTCGTTTTACCATAAACAGTATAGTCTGATAGACCAGTACAGCTAAAGTTTTACCTTTTTCAGGTTTCCAAGCAATAGAGATAGAGAATTAACCTAAGGTCCTATTTGTCCATAGAGAAAAAGAAAGGGTTTAAGGGTTTTGTTAACACTTTACTCATGCATACACAACTGTAGGGGCTTACAGAATCCCTAAGAGACCTTCAACCTCACTGCCAAATTTTCACGCCATGACCAACCTTACCGTCAAACAAAGACTGCTTCTATAGCAGCAGAACCACCATCGTGTTCATTGGCCGAACCTGTCATGGGCTTAGTTTGTGTTATATTAATTGCTTCCTGATGTCTCAGTCTTATAAAATATTGCAACCCAAACATATCCAGCTCCTTGCTTCCTTTGAAGTAGAGAAAGCAAGGTAGTCACCAAAGAGGGCATGGTGGGGATGGATACTGCATTGATTTTCAGATTTCTCCAAGTTTCTGGTTTCTTGTCAACAGAAACTGTCTCCAGCTCTTCTCTACTCTAATATGGCTTCCGATTCTACAGATTCTCTCCTAACAATGTGACAAACACATAGTCAAAAACCTGGTTTAGACAAATGGGTATCTAATCTTGTTTCCCAGCACCAGTGCTATAAGGAACAAATTCATTTATCATATGGTATGAGTTCATTCACTTAATAAACATTTCTATATTCAAGGCAGTCTCTGAGCCTCTGAACATGCATACATCATTAAGGCTGATATGTGCATGTATATGGTTTACATCTAAGTTCCTAACCTATTTAGAGATAATGCTGTGGTTGCAATTGTTACCTGTATTGGTACTGAGAGGCCCTGGTCCCTTTTTTGTTAGAATCGAGTTTAATTTAGCAAACCCTGGCTGAATGAATGCCTTCTAGGGGAGCCTCGGAGCCTCCAGCGCTCTCCTCTCCAGTCTCCTTGAGCAATACCTGGACATCCACTGACACCTTTTAGGAAGTGATGCACCGTTTCCTTTCCTGATGCACATTTTTTTGTTCCCCCAACTTCTTGGCCTAAGACACAATTTGCAACTTTCTGCTAACCTGTTCTGCTTTATCCACAGCTCTACCGCCTATGTTGGAGCCTGCGCAACAGCAAAGAGGAGCGCATTGACCTGGATGCAGGAGAGGAGGACATCCCAGAAGCCCCAGAGGAGACTTTTGAAATAGGTAATTTATGATTCAGAGCATATGGCCAAGCCCTGAAAAGTTAATCCTCCAACAGCAAGATTGCTTTACTGATGCCTTCACTAAGTGCCATCATCAAAGCTCAGACCTCTCTTCTAGAGGGGTGTGGAGGGGTTGGGGATGGATGAGGTGAATAAATGAGTTCTGGGAAGTTCACTGTGAGGCCTGGTTAAGGGGAGGAGGGGGATGACAAGTCATCCCAGCTCCCTTAATGCTTGTAGTTCACAGGGCTCAGCAAGTCTGCATGAGCTGTTTGCCACCCTGACTTGATTTGGGGCATGGCCAGGGATGAGGGAAGAGGCAAAGCCCCTCTGATAGCCTGTGAGTGGAAAGCAGGTGCAACCAGAGCTATGGCCAGCTCTGCCGACATCAGGGGAACGGGCTGGGGGCCCTTGGGGTCTTGTGTCTTTCTGACTTACCACTCAGATTTAGAAAACGAAATTTCTCTGAAAGTGCAGTAAGATAGTGCTTAGTCAATGCCCAGAGACTTGTCTTGATCATAGAGAAATGCTTTCCTCAACTTCTGTATCGGACCTTTTCCTCGCTATGTGGGAGGGGTGCACACATGGAGGATGGTTGTGAGATCTATGGCATCTTGTGTGGGAGCACATGATCATACATGCTTTATCTGGTGTTGGGCTGGAGGTCTCCTCACCCCATCTGAAGGGGAGCCCAGATGCGGCAGAACCAGTTCTGAATCTGACCGTCAGATTGGTACTAAGAAGAGTTTTTTTAACCGAGTTGGTCCAGGAAGGAGTGAATGGCATGTGAGCATCTATCAGGGTTGCCCTAGAGGCGGCTTCCACACTGGCTAGAGAATTGGCTTAGTGACTTCAGAGGTTCACGGCAGCACTTGAATCCTATTGTTTCTTAGTGAACTCATGGTGAAATCAAACCAAAGACCCTTACCTATTAAGGTACAATAAACTGAGATCTCTTGAGGGATTTTATAGACAATAGGCATCCCTCTCACCATTCTCGGAGGAACAGCCGAAGGAGGAAGGCTTGCGGCTGCACATCACCCCATATCCTCACCATTACCACCATTGTTATCGTGATGGATGATGATACGACCGTTACATACTTTAATAATGAATACCTTACTTTTGTCTAGTGATTCATTCGAGTGCCACATCATAATTTTAAGGCAGGTAATGCAAGTATAATTCTCCCAATTTTACAGATGTGGAAAATGAGATACAGAGACTCTTTCAAGGTCGCCCAACTTTTTATTGACCCAGATAACCATGCTTTTCTCACTTGGACTGGTCTGTGAGCCCAACCTTTTGTTAGTCTTTCCCCATTCTCCTAATTTAGTAGAGTGGACCAAAGTGGAAGGGGACTAGGAGGCTTGTTACTCTTTCTTATGTGTGTGAGAGAAAAGAGAGAGAACATGGAAGGCGACTACACTTCTTGGCTCCTACCCCACACTGGGCACTCTCATGAAACCTCATAATGAAGGAAGTGTTATTGACCCAATTTCATATATACTTGATGATAAGAGAGGTGAATTAAGCCATGAAGCTGGGTTTTGGCTCCAGTTCTGACATATATGTGCTTGATCACTAAGGTTCTTTCCAGTTCTAAAGATCTGTGACTCTTAAGAATGTTAAGAGGAGCGCAGTGATCCCTGACCGTGGTGCTGAAAATAGGTCAGCTTGACTTCCTATCCAGTGAGTCATAGACGTAGAATTCTGACCCAGGTCTGTCTACTTCCAATGCCAGAGCCATGCTCAGAGGAGAGAATCAGTTCCCTTGGTGGCATCCACCTTGAGTGGCAGGGCCAGTTGGATGGTTTGATTCATCAGTATTGATATACAGCCACAGATCTTAAGCCCTGGAAGTACTGATCATTGCTGCTCTGTGTCAGGAACTATTTAGACCAATTCTTCCTACATGGCTGGATCTGCTGTGAAACCCTGGAATTTCCAGGTGTAGTCAATGCACTCCTACGTTATGTTAGTCTCTTTGCTTTCAAATTCTGTGACAAACAGATATGAGTTTATGTGTTTCAGAGGTAGTGTTTCTATATATTTCATATGTCACAGTTCTCCTGCCTGTTGGTAACATTTCCCTGTTTGATTCTGACTGTCCTAAATCAAAATGTGTTTGCATTGGGCCTCAAGGTAAAAATTGCATAGAGGTAAAAATTAGTCTAGTTGATCATATGGATGTAGAATCCATCCAGGCACATCACCTCGTCATTAATTAAGTTCGCTCAAGCATTTTATACCATTTTCCTTCCTGCAGACAAGAAAATCGGCAACTGCCCGCAGCGTGGCAGATGCCCCATGGTGCGGCATCTCTCTGGAGAGCCGCTCTGGGGTCTCATGCTTCACTATCGAATAATCTTTTTATGTCGTTCCCCTGACATAGAAGTTCCTGAGGGGAAAAAGGGATGTTGCAGGCGGGCCTACGACCTGTTTTGTGGCCTGGACCAGCAGAAGGGCCCCAAGATGACAAAGGAAGAGGAGGAAGCCATGAAGCTGAAGATGACAGACACCTCTGAGAGGCCTCTGTGGCGGACGGTGGCGAACATCAACGGCATGATCCTGCTGGCCGTGGCTGTCTTCTGCCACGCGTATTTTGCCTGAGACTTGCCTTCTGCTGCAGGCTGTGCTCGCAAAGGCTGGACTACTTGCTCTGTCTCCCTTTAGACCCACACTGTGGTGTTGAAGGGAAACCGGCCCATTGTAAATTTTGCCCAATTGATAAGCATATACATGTGTAATTACAGGATAGCAGGAGGAAATCATTAATTTTATTAACTTATATATTTGAGGCCAGTGATATAGTCAGCTGTACACATCAGACCCTCAGAAGGACAGTCCACCTCAGTCATGTCCAGGAAAAAAGCAGATTAAGAAACAGAAGCCCTGCGATGTCTGACGCAAGTTTGTTTCAGGTAGATTCAGCATGTCAGCATTGTTTGTGATCCTTGAATGTTATTTTAAGGGTTGAGGTCTCCCTGGTTCCTGCCACTTTCCCTGTATGACCTCCCCTTCATCTTTTTTTTAAAAGAAAAAAATTTCCTCTCATCATATTCCTGGGAAGCTTTTCCTGGCACAAGAAAAATCAATCTGAAAAACCGATGAACGCACTGACGTTGAAGATGGGAGCTGGCTGGGGTCTCTGTCCTGAGTGTTTGGTCTTTGAAGGACAGGCCTGGTGAATGGCAGCACTTTACTCCAAAGGAGGGTCTCAGGCGCCAGCCTCAAGCCAGTGGGGCAAACAGATAATCTTGAGTTAAGGGGATTTGCTGATCTTAAAAACGTCCATTGTGAATTCCTCATGTTTGAGACTTCACTCATTTTTGGGATTTGCTCTGCTTGGAATGTCTTAGCTGCTCAGCAGTGTTTGGGGACCAAATGATTATGGGCATTTATTATAAACACTTGCTTTGTTTTTATGCAAGTCGGCCCTTGGTTAACCTTTTCTTGTGGCTGCACAAAGTATGGGCTCTGGCGACTGTCATAAATTGGAATGCGCTTTCCAGAGGCCACTCCTCCTCATGGTGTGGATGTTGCCAGACAAGCTTCAAAGCTGACTCTCTGTCACAGGATAGAGCAAACGTGCCTCTTGGGGACAGCTGTCATCTCAAAGCAGCCACACTGTCCTGAACCGCTGACACAGTAAGCCCGAGATTCTCCTCCCCGAGTTCACATGACCACAGCTCTTCTTTAATTCTTAGGTGTCTAGATTGGTGACCATCCACTGACCAAGCCTAGGGTAGGTGGTCTCTGTTTTGAATGGTAGCTCCCAACACTTCTAGCTGACAGGAGAGTGTTTCTTGAAGACCCTGTTCCTAGTGAGAAATTTTTAAAAATCAAAATTAAGTTGAATTAATTATTCAGTTCTTTTAGTTCCGCCTGTGAAATCTCAATCATGTTGTAATAGAATCCCACTGAAGTTAAGAAAAAGTCACAATGCTAGTATTGACTGATTTCAGGCTATCTTAGAAAAGAGCTGGGTTCTGAGGGACTGTGTAGCTGAGAGCAGTTCCTGGGTGTAAAAAAATAGTTCAACAGGCAAAGGAATGGTTTGTTCTTGTGGAAGGAAGGAAACTGTCTGTCACGCCTTCAGATGGCCTGTAAGCTCAGTGGGGAAGGAGGGAAAGTGGAGACTGTCACATGGCCAGCACCGCTCTGTGTGCTTGGTTTCGTGTGGATATTGTGGTATGGTTGAGTTTTGAGAAGATACAGGGAGAGGACTGAGAGCTGGTGGAGGGAGTGACACAGAGTATCTGGATCGTCCGGGGTTCTGTTTCTGGCATTGCCAATGACTTACTGTGTATGTTGTAGTAAATTATTTTGTCTCAACTATTTTTCTCTTTGAAAAATGGGGACCTTGGTGCTTATAGCATCTATCTACCTCCTCTGGGTGTGACCAGGTCACTTTGAAAAGGGGATCAGAGATACATACATGGAAGACACCGTACAGATACTGTATTAAGCTGCATTGAATCCCATGAATTAAAATGTGTTACTTTGATAAAAATAAAAACATTGAAAAATTGTAACATCTGGATTTCCTGTTCTCTAGAGATCCTAGACAGATTCTGGCCATGTCTGTGGTGAGCTTTGGTTGGCACAAGATATTGATTAGGAAACAGGAGCCAAGACAGTTGAGAATAGAATCTAGCAACTTGAACAAAATGTAACAAGGTTTGGAGATGATTTCAACTCAAAACCTCTAGTAGATATGAGGTGAATAACTTTACCTTCAATGCATAATGTCCTCTTAGAACGGACAGCCACTTGGGTAATCAGCGGCCAGTAAGTGATAAATTATACTTGAATATTTTCAGAAGTGCAGGGAAGAGCTGTTCTTCTCCTTAAATGGAAGATAGGTGTTGGGGGTGGAGTGACTGCTTATTGACGCTCAGTTTGGAAATTCATGCCCCATCCGGCAAATGGCTTCTTTAAATAAAGATAACTGTTTTAAAAGCAATCTGTCAAAATGAAAATACAGGCCTCTGCTGCAGAGTGAAATTGGTCCTGGGACCTTCAACCTGCTTACTTCTGTGTGCAGTCAGGTATTGGTGCTCACTTAGAGAAATTTCTACCTTTGGAGCTCACTGGAGCCTACTCTTTTCCTGGTGCTGAAATCACCATCTCCTAAAAGATGCTTTATCCTGCTTTGTCAAAGCAAACCTTGGGAGATATGCATGTACATGCTTTGTTGGAGGAGAGAGGTTTCTTCTCACATTCCTCCCATGCAACCCCAAGAAAACTCCTAACTTTCAAATTGGGTTTCAGTGAATGAAGTTTCAGTGAGGTATCATTTCCTTGATGGGCTGGTAGGATGGAATTGGAGGTGTGGGTCAGGGTACTGGGACCAGCATTGTTTGAGAGGCTCTGGAGGACTCAGGTGAATGTTCTTCATCCCAGAGCTCCACACTGCATCCCTGACCCCAGCCAGTCTTTGCAGTTTTAAGAGCCGTTCCAAGATCAGGCGATTTGATACAATTCCTCCCATGCTTGGAAAGCTGGTAACACATGCCCAGCTGATAAAAGGACCTTCTTTACGTGCACGTGCCGACAGCACATACGCACATGCATTTCAGAATCAGACAAAGGGCTTAGGGGAGTGGTTCTCAAACCATACCTTGTACCAGAATCCCCTGGAGAGCTTGTTAAAACACAGATTATTGGGGCCACTCCCAGAGTTTTCTGATGCAGTAAGTCTGGAGTTGGGCCTGGGAATTTGCTTTTCTAACAAGCGTCCAGTTGATTTGGTTGCTGCTGGTCTGAGAGCACACTTTGAAAACAATTACTTAATTTCCAAAGAGGCTTCATTTCATCACCAAGGCAGGCAGAACTGGAGGAACTTCTTTCCTAAGCTCTATTTTGAGATTTTTAGTGATGTTCCAGGACCAAAAGGCTTTTCTGAAACCAAAGTTGTGTAGGTATAACTGAAGCCATACAATGCCAAGGTGCTGAAAGTCCCACCTCACTGATGCCTTCAGGGGCTATCTGCTTAATTCTGACCTGTCTCTTCCAGATGTCAAGGCTTGACAGGTTACCAACTTGACTTTTATTTTATATTTTGTACTCATCATGTACTATAAATATACTGGCCCTCAAAGTCAGTCTCAGGTGAAATTTTTGCAGATGGGGGTGTGAGGGGAGAAAGCACTGACTTAGTGGACATCTTGTATCGGCAAGGCCCTTTAGGCAATATCAAATGACCTCACCTGTTGTGGGAACGTTGGGGTTTCCATGGCCAGGATGCTCACCTGAACTTTAACTACTTGGTGATGTAACTGGCCTGCTGCTAGGCCACTGCTTCCACACCTGTAGGCAATAAGCTATTATTGACTGAGTCGCTATATAAAGAGCTCCGCCCAGTGCTCTGGGCAGAAGCAGAGACAAGGAGGGTTGCAGACTTGCAGACTGTTGGATGCAGATGTAATTCTACTGCTCGACCTATCACTGGGAGAGAACAAGCCAGGTAATAAGCCCTTTCACCCCAAGAACGTTCTGTTGTCATTCCTCAGTCTCCCTGAATCCATAGTGAACTTGCCTGGGGCTGAAACCCACTGGCTAGACACTTGTCTTTACAAAAGTTTGATGAAGTGTGCATAACATTTGGAGGAAACCGAGATTCAGGCACTACCCCAAGACAAAGACTTGGTGGTCATGGCCTAGGGGCCGACAGCCCCCCTTCCCTGCCACAGTTTCCCAGGGAAGCCTTCCAGCAGTGACACGATGTAGCTCCTTCAATTCCAAAGTTCCTGGCCTGGGGCAGGGTGTGGACAAATGAGGAGACCAATATCTATTGAGCACGTACTTATTTATATTAATAAAACTTTGTAACACTTGAATCTGTGAGTTAAGCACTTCTATATCTATTTTTGCATAAGCAATGAAGGTTCAGGGAAGTTGACTGCTTTGCTCAGGTGGGTCTGTTTCTAGAGCTTGTACTTCTATTTTTGGTTTCAGTGGGTATCTTCTCATAACCAAATAGTCATAGAAATCTTTTCTGTCTAAGCAGTTCCTATTTACCTTTCCATGAGGGCTCTGCCAAGACTGCCAGAGCATGGAAAATGATGCTTTTTAATGCACCCCCAGCATGAGAGAAGATGGTCCTTGAATGGGCCTGCATTCCCATCTCGCATTCAAAGGCCCGACTGTTAAAGTAAACACCAGATATTTCAGATTGGCAAAAATGTGATTCGGAATGCTGGTGCTTTGTTTGTATTTTGATACATAATTTGTTTGTATTTGATACATAGTATAGGAGTCAAAGTGCCTGAATCCTAGGAGCAGCAGGTGCTTTCCCATTGATTGTTGAAAACCCCTGTGATCCAGCCCACCCAAAGGCCCTCATCCATTCCCCTTCCCTCACCCACATGCTCTCTATATTCAGCCATAATTCTATTTTCTTTTGCTGCATGACATCCATTTCAGATCAATTTTCCACAGGAACTTGGGACTTGTAAATCCACAAGATGCATAATTAACTGAGTGTTATGGGCTAAATGATGTCCTACTCAACCCCCCAAATTTATTGAAGTCTGACCCCCCAGACCTCAGAATGTGACGGTATTTGGAAGTAGGGTCTTTAAGGAGGTGATTAAGTTAAAATGATAATGTTAGGGTAGGCCCTAATCCAATATGACTAGTGTCCTTATAAGACGGGACCAGAACACACAGGGAAGACCCTGTGACGACACGCGAACATGGCCGCCCCAAGCCAAGGAAAGAGGCCTTAGAAACCAGTCCTGCTGACATTTTGATCTTGGACTTCTGGCCTCCAGAATTGTAAGAATATAAATTTCTGCTTGTTTAATCCCCTCGGCCTGCAGAACTTTGTTAGGGGGGCCCTAGCAAATGAACACAATCTATTAGGAGCTGGATCCACTCTGTGCGCTCTTAGATTCTATTTCTCTATTTGATATTAACTCACTACAGCGTGGATTATATTAATTACTTTTTCTTATTTTCTTTGTACATGATGCTCTGGCTTTTGGGGTCCCTAGACTTGGGAGAAACTGCCCCTACCAGTGCTAGCCCTTTCTTAGAGATAGCAAAGGGCTTGTCTAGGAGCACATCTCTCATATACAAACCAGCCAGTCCCTTATTTACAGCCCCGGGCACCCCTTATTCAACACTCACACACCAAGCCAATATTTCCCCTACCCTCAATCATCCCAGGGCCAGGGTCAGGCAACTAGAGACCACGTCACTAGCCCCGAATCACCAGAATTATTCAAACTGCCCACTGAGCTGTTTACCATGCCCTACCTTCCCTTTCCTGCAGAAACCCCAGCAAAGTGTGAGGCCTCGGCCTTCCCCTCGCTCCTTTCTGCCTCCTGAGCAGCACTGGTGCCTCCTGCTGGGGCCTTACGTGGCATGTGCTGACCCCCCTTTCTAGGACCTGTGACTATAATAAACTTCCTTTCAAGCCTGGTTCTCAGCTCTTGTGGCCACACCCAACATCCACATTCCTAGAACAGACCCCATTCACTCCTCAAGGCCTATGGACGCCATTAGACAGCATCTTAATCAGGAATTGCATTATTGTTTCCTTAAAAGACCAGCCCTCTCCTCAAGCCTTTCTTCCGGCCCCTTCACCCTCACCTCCTCGTCTTCTCTCTGCCTCTGTTCTTCACCCCTTCTGACCCGCCCGGACCCTGCCAGCTGGAGCCACAGAGAGCGCGCCTGCGGTCTCACAAAGCCGGGGCGATTCAACGTGGCTGCAGCGACAGGAAGGTTCAAGGGGCAGTGCAGCTTGTCACCGACAGAGGAAGAGTTAGGGTTGGGCCGCTGGGGGATTTGGGGAAAGGGTAGGATTTAGGAAAAATTAGATAAGGCCATGTTTTGTTAGGTTCAGAGTAAAGCAGAGAGTGTCTATAAGGGGATTAACATCATGGTTTAAGAAGTAGACCCAGGGTTCCTGTTATTTGGGGAATTCAAAGTTAAGATAAATATGGAATGTTATGTATGAAAACCCCTTATTTGAAGGGGTTTACCTGGGTTGGGAATTGAGGCTGATTTTCTGTCACTGAGTCATGTGACTCAAGAGCCTTCAGGCATGAGTGAGATATTTTCTGGCTGAAATGATTTCAAATAGCTAAGTTTCTCAGTCTATGATTTTAGGGAACAAGTTTTCAGCACCACGTCCTTGATGTGAGTTAACACGAGCTGTCTTTATGGGCCCACACTCCTTGTCTCTTATTCTCACGTGCCAGTTCTGACCACCCCAGGGCCAGAGTCCAGACTCCAGGGTTCTAATTATTCAGCACTACACTGTACTGTCTACCCAAAGATATTGTAAAGGAAAATTTAACTAGTTTGAGGTGGAATACCTGGATGATGGACTAATAGCAGAATGGACAGAACTGAACTTAGTGAATGGAAATAGGGAGCCCAGAAGTTATGAAAAATATTCCAGGAAGAGGTAAAGTGATGGAAACTGGGAACAAAACTCAAAACCCAACATCCATCTTTCTGGAGCTCCAGAAAGAGAGCAGGCAGAACAGGAGCAGAGGAGGTGACACAGAATAGGAGCAGT